TGATGTCTGCGAATCGACTCGTCATTACCAGCCCTGCAGCCCCCTACAGCTTAAGAAAACCGACAGCACCTCTCAGCATAACTCGAACAATATAGGAGTTTCGCAGACCTAATTCGGGCAGCAGACCGAGTTCCGAGCTCTGGCTTCGACAGACGGACGCGTCTGACGTCTTGAAATCGATGTCTGTGACCACCAGCACTGTAGCCACCCTGAGCGCGAGTGGAGTGGAGGAAACCGAGAACACTTCTCAGATAACTCGAACAATACAGTAGACCTAATTCGGGCAGCAGACCGAGTTCAGAGCTCTAGATTCGACAGACAAACGCAACGGATGATTCTGAATCTGTTCCTGTAAATATCAGCTCTGTAGCTGTCCTAGAGCTCGAGTTAAGTACAGGAAACCGAGAGCTTCTGTCAAGATGACTCGAGAAATATACGTGTATGTTTGCAGACCTAGCTCGGCCAACAGACCGAGTTCAGATCCTGGATTGGACAGACGGACGCGCCTAATTATTCGTCATCAATTAGCTGTGCTTACCAGCTTTGTAGCTCCTGAAGCTCGAGTTATCTTCAGAAAACTGTCAGCGCGTATCAAGATGACTGAAAACGATCGATCCCGCAACAGTGCTTTTCGATCGTAATATTCACCCGATCGATCTGAGATCAAGATGGCGAGCGGAAATCGAATATTATGGAAAATTACGAGAGCTCTAACGACTGTTCAAGTTTGAGAAGAAAATTTTCAACCAACCAAAAGTCAGCAAACATTTCGTCGAGATGTTTCTTGCCAACTACTCTCCAGCGCGCCGGAATTACTCTGAAGCTTCCAGCAACTAGCTTAGAGACGCGCCTGATGTTTCGAATCGGTTCGAGTGATTGCCAGCCATGCAGTCACCCTACAGCCCAAGTTAAGTGCAGAGAACCGACAGCATCTCTCAAGATGACTCGAACAATACAAATAATTTTGCAATTCTAGATTCGGCAGCAAACCGAGTTCAGAGCTCTTCATAGCAGACAACAGCGACTGACTAGCTCAAGTATAACTATCACAACACGAAAAATTAATTTTTTTCTAATTTTTCGGCTCTCACTTCAGAAGCTTGTTTCACGTGTTCGAAGGAGCGCTGTGTAAGAAGAGAGCTCTACGAGCTGCCCGGCGGTAACTTGGTTGACGGTTTACCGCCGGTTCCCAGTGGGAAATGCTGGGAAGCCACGCTTCCGGACCCGCTGCAACCTCCAGCAGGGCGCTGCGGGGATCGTGGACCGGCGGAGGTGGGCGTGTCCTCCTCACCACCCACCTCCGGCTTCTTATCTAAAACCCTGAGCTCTCCAAGAGGCTATCCGGAAACTTGGTTCTGTCCAAAACCCGGAGAGTAAAGAGAATCTCGAGGACGGAACCTCTTCTCGTCCAACACCCGGATAGCAAAGCGCGAGACGCGCGCACGGTCGTGCAAGCGCATCCGAACTGCGCGTGTTCCTGCGCTCGCTTGAGACGGGTGCGTCAAGTTGTCTCAAGCACACTTGAAGTGCGCGGTGGTGCTGGAGAGCTGCCTGCCGCTCTCCTGAAGGGCTAAACGTGCGTGGTGACACTGGCAAACTTGCTTGGCGCGCTTCCCGGACTCAGAGCGACGCTTCAACGCGTGCCTGCGCGCGTGGGAGCTCCGTGGCCCGGGAACTTGCACGCGTGAGAGCTCGCTGCCCGGGAGCTTCGCGAGGCCTCTCGAGCACGTTCTACGCGAACGTATTGAAACAGACGCCCCGGGACACGCTG